CAGGGAGCTCTGGTGTGGACTGGTCCATGAGGTCACGAAGAGTCGGAGACGACTGAACGAATGAACAACAACCATCTCCCCAGTGGGGACTCAGAGCGACTTACATGGGGCCAAGCCCGGACAACATCTTGCCGCAATAAAATCAAAGCATAAACAACAAACAACAACATCATCATCAAAATTACATAAGAAAAAAAGGCAGTCATAAAATAACATTCTAATAAACACAATCACAGTAACAATAACAATGGGCGATCCATATGTAAAAGATAAGACAATTAAAAGTCTGTAATGAGATAAAATAGGAGCAGGATATTTACGGGGAACTCATAACACAGAGAGTTGTGAGGCTAAACTTCCCATTTGGAGGGCGCGAGCTCCAGTAACAAAAAACGTTGAGGGGTGCAAAAAGTCATGGTGTGCACCTACTCACCCAAGGTGAAGCGGAAGAGCCAGGTTTTAAGGTTCTTTTTGAACATTTCTAGTGAAGGGACTTTCCTGATCTCTCCAGGTAAAGAGTTCCAAAGTCAGGGAGAGAGAGAGGAGAAAGTTCTCTCCCTTGTACCATCACAAGATGAGCTAGACTGGTAGAGGTGAAAGGAGGACCTTCCCCGAAGATCCCAATAGACAACCCACTAGACCAGGACTGGGCAGGCTCAGAGAGCCCATGGCAATCCCTTCAGTGGTCTGAATTAAGAAAAAGGCCTTTGCCTACTGGCAGAAACAGCAGAGAGGAGATGGCTTTAAGCTGAAGCTATATGGCATTCTGGACCACCTTTCAACCAAGTCTCTTGGTCAACCCTATAGTCACAATGATATGAGATGAAAGCAAGAACTTCCTTCAGCTGGGCTTAAGACTTAGTTGACTTAAACAAGTTGATTCTCTAAATTATCTCATATATTCAGAAAAGTGATGTTTGGAGACAGTTGATTCCTTGATGTATGATTTCACTGGAGCTGCTCCTCATTTCCTTATGTGGCATTTAAATAACAGGCTTTATATGACAGCTGACAGAGCTTGATAGTCTTTGGGATATCAATGGATCTGAAATCTAAGAACCTTGTGTTTAAAAACAATCCTCTCAACTGATAACTGCTTCGTTTCTAAATGCCAATTATGTCACTAGTGATGACATTTCAGACATGCATTGGCTGTTTCCCACTGAACTGACAAGGCTTTCTAGACATCTATTTGAGTGTGTCTTTAAAATTCATTCTGAATACACTCTTACATGTCTTCTCGGGAGAAAAGCACTCGAGTTTCATGGGCCTTACACCTAGGTAAGTGGAGCCGCTTGTTTCCATGATCAATGATTAAATTTGGGTATTTTTTTATCAGAATCTAATTATCCTAAAGGCTCCAGATGCTGTCCGATGGAAGCTAAGAACGATCAGATGTTAGCATTTGCATGGAAGACTGCTAATGAATCCAGGTACTGTAGGCTACGTTTCACAGGAAGGAACTAGCAAAATGCTCTGAGTTTCCCTTATCTAAGAAAACTTGAAATTCTCAGAGCATGCTTTAATTCTGAATAATTTCCCATCTAAGTTTCGACCACTTACAACCCCTCACTGTGTTCTATGGGTCTTACTATAAGACTGTATCCCTACCTTTATTGTTGCTGTGTGCCTTCAAGTCATTTCTGGCTTATGACAACTCTGTCATAGAGTTTTCTTGACAAGATTTGTTGAGCTCTAGTATGCTTTGCCTTCCTCGGAAACTGAGAGGGTGTGAGTTGCCTAAAGTTACTCAATGGTTTTCCATGGCTGAGCAGAGAGTCAAATCCTGGTTTCCATTAATTAATCAAACACTCAAACCAGTATACCACACTTCCTATTCAACCCTGGCCTACTATATACATACTACATCAGCAATATATATTTGTGATGTACCAGAAAATCCAATTCCATTGCTTATATTTGAAATATGTCATTTTATCTGAGAACCCAAGTGCATAATACTTGCTGGAATCTCTTGTTTTGGCCAACATTGAAACTGAAATGTACGCTGTCGTCTACTAAATGGCATTGGATGGGACTATCTAATCCTGTCAAATATGAAACAGCATTGCTATTAAATCATGCCAAACACTAACTTGAGAAAACAACAAGCATAGGATGTTAAACACAGTTAAAAAATACTTAGACAGCATTCACAAATATTTGGATATTCAAAGAGTATGCGTAGTGTATTACAGTAAGTTGTAGCAGGATCAAGTATGTGTTAAAGAAAAACCTTATGATGTTAATTATTATGTACAGCTGGTAATGTAGGTCAGCCACCATGTTTAGGCCACACCCGATGGGGTGTAACTGTATGGATTTTAGAATACAGTTTGGAGAAGCGATACGCTACTCTGAGGAGAAGCAATATGCTGTAATGCTGCTATGCTCTAACAGCAATGCTCTTTGCTATGTTGGAATAGCTATTTACTCAAAGTTTATGTTTTGCTCTCTCATTTGAATGAAGATGAAGAAGTTTTATTCTATGTTACTTTCAAGAACTATGTAAATTTGTTGCACTGTTTGATTTTGTATGCAACACTGCAAGTGTATGCCTTCCTTTTTCCTCTTGTTTGTGTGTCTTTTGCATGGGCTCTGGCTAAAACACACTTTGCGCAACATAGAGTACCCAACAACAAACAATAGGAGAAAACAACATTATTTAAACTTTATATTAGTAGTCCTGTTGCAGATTTTTCTGTTGATATTCCTCGAACCAGAAGTAGAAAATTATATTACTAATGCAACTAGGAGCTGTTCAAGGTGCTGAACCTATTCAGAAAAATAAAATTCAGCCTCCTTTTACACTGTCTTTATATCCCAGGATCTGATCCCAGATTATCTGCGTATCCCAGATTACATGGCAGTAGAGATTAATATAATCCAGTTCAAAGCAGATAACCTGGGATTAGATATAAGGACAGCGTCGAAAGGGTATCAGTAGGTAGAAATCCACTATGGTTTTTTTTTGTCGTGTCAGGAGTGACTTGAGAAACTGCAAGTCACTTCTGGTGTGAGAGAATTGGCAGTCTGCAAGGACGTTGCCCTGGGGACACCTGGATGTTTTGATGTGCTACATCCTTGTGGGAAGCTTCTCTCATGTCCCTCCATGAGGAGCTGGAGCTGATAGCAGGAGTTCATCTGCACTCTCCCCAGATCTGAACCTGTGACCTGTTGGTCTTCAGTCCTGCTGGTGCAGGGGTTTAACCCACTGCGCCACTGGGGGCTAAGTGAACTTGGGCAAGTCACATATTCTCGGTTTCAGAGGAAGGCGAAGGCAAAAACCCCATTGATCTTACCAAGAAAACCTATGGTAGTTTGCTTTAGGGTCACCATACATTGGAAATGACTTAAAGGTGTACAACAGCATACTTCAGATCACTCCTGTAAAAATTTCAATTAAAACCTGGAACAGGTTCACTACCCCAGTCATATGAAATCTACCAGCTACCATTGCTTTTATGACACTTCTAAATTCCTTTATTAAGACTCTTCTAAGCTGCTCTGGGACATAAAACACATGCACTCATCACAGAGAAAGGGAATTGCCCAATACAATATATAGTGGATACTGGCATACAAACCAAGAGCTGTCAGTGCCCCTTAACTTTAATTTCTGGGGTAAATTAATGGCATATACCAAACATAAACTTTCATATTTCTAGGAATTCACACAGTTCCTCAAACACTTAAAAACAATACAATAATTAAAATGAAGAACTTTGACACATAAGATTGACAAAATGAAGAGCAGGACAAGAAATTGTTTTCTTTATTTCTGAGAGATGGGATATTCTTTCAAATCACATGGAGTTTGATTGGAAGGATGTTCTCCTTTGGCAATGTGTGGCTTGGGATATAAAAGAGATCAGGCCTCTTATTCAGTAGGCATTTAAGACTGCTTTTCTTGCTTCTTGACAAAGTGGGTCCAATACACCTTCACCTCCTAGGAGAGAGGGAGGAACAAATAGGAAAAAAATTGAATTTATTTATTTATTTATTTAAAAGTTTTGTATACCGGCCTTCTCACCTCTCTTGAGGGACTCAGACCGGTTTCCAACCATAATATCACATACAATCAATAAAACATAATACATATTACAGTAAAACATTAAAACAGCAATTACAATCAATAACTATAATGGTCAGTTGTCACACTAAAATCATTGCTCATCATCCTCCATCCATATCTCAGGGTGTTGGCTCACTCGTCGAATGCCTGTCTCCATAACCAAGTCTTCACCTGTTTCCTAAATATCAGGATAGACATTTTTGAAATAAATTTGAAATAAAAGTCAGACTTGTAAAAAAAAATACTTCTTTGTAAGAGGATGCCTGAAGAGAAACCATGTTTAATATAGACCAGGGGTCCTCAAACTTTTTAAACAGAGGGCCAGGTCACAATTCCTCAAACTGTTGGAGAGCTGGATTATAATTTGAAAAAACCCATGAATAAATTCCTGTGCACACTGAACATATCTTATTTGTAGTGAAAAAAACACTTAAAAACAATACAATAATTAAAATGAAGAACAATTTTAACAAATATACACTTATTAGTACTTCAATGGGAAGTGTGGGCATGCTTTTGGCTGATGAGATAGGATTGTTGTTGTTGTGTGCAATCAAGTTGTTTCAGACTTGGGTTGACCCTGTGCGAGGGCCGGATAAATGACCTTGGAGGGCCGTATCCGGTCCCTGGGCCTTAGTTTGAGGACCCTTGATATAGACTAATTAAATCTCATTTGGAGCCTCACGAATACATTTTGCTGCTTAGAGATAAAAGAGTTCCATAATCTGATAGTAGCCACCAAGAAGGCCTCTCTTTATTTCCACTATTGAAACATGACTGACAGAAGGGTCTTAACTGAAGATCCATATGGGGAGATAGGGTCCTTGGGAGCCTGAATCCCATGTGCATATGGCTTTATGGGCTGTAACTTGTACTTTCAATTGCACCTGGAAATGAACTGGAAAGCCACTGCAGCTTGCACAACAAATGTGAAAGTCCGCTCTGCCCCAGTTGACTATCTGGCTGGAGCTATTTGGGCCATCTAACATTTCTGAGTCTCCCTGAATCTGTGTCCAGAGGGGCCTGTCTCACTCTGCTGTGTAAACAGAACCCTTCTCACCCCATTTGTACCTACCAAAATCCAAGTCATTGATGTTGCACTGAAAGACAGTCTCTCCATTCACTATGAGCTGCACCTCATTCCAATCGGGTATTTCTTCCAGAATTATACTGTGCCCATCTGCTTTCAACACAGCTGCAGAAAAGTAAACCCCGAAGCTGCTGACATGGAAAACTGGCTAATATGCAGAGGAAATTGCAAGACAAATGTATTGCTCATGCTACTGTTAATGAAGTAAGCAAGTGTATTTCTTATTTAAATACGGGTAACTTTGTGGGATGGCTGGCCATCCTTGAAGATGGAAATTATTGGGGTAGGTTGGGTCCCTGCACTTAAGGATGGTTTTTTTTTCTGCTTCTCTCATGTTCACTCCTGGCCATGGGATAAACTCCCCAGATACTAACAGCAAGACACTTTGTATCATGGGGACAGTTCATTAAAATTAAAAAAAAATCCTTTTTGGGTCATCATGAGGCTGCTCCAGCAGTCCTCCTGGCATGTAAAAATGACATTACAGGAGGAAGGGGGACAAATTGCTCTCCCTCCCCCACTCCTGGCACATCATTTTTACATACCAGGAAGGCTGCCAAAACAGCCCCATGGTGACCTGGTAAGGATTTTTTTAATTTTAAGGCTTTGGGGGAAGGGGTTGAGGTGGCCCCATTCCAGCACAGTAGTGGAAATGGAGACAACCCCTGGGAAAGCCTGGTTCTTTTGGGTGCCCATGGGGAGTTAAACCCACTTGAGGGGTTTTAAACCCTGCCTGGAAGCACCCTCGGTCAGAAGGAAAACCACTCTCTCAGCAAATTTGCTGTGGTAGGTTCACCTTAGGATTGCCATTAATCAGAAATTATTAAAGTGTTCCCTCGCCGCTTCGTGGTTCACTTTATGTGGACTCGCCATATCACGGCATTTTCCTTCCCTCTCAAGCCTCTGGAGGAGGAAGAGAAGGAAGGGAGGGGGAGCCAGGAGCGCCTCCTCACCACCTACGCTGCTCCCCACTCCTTTGTCAGGGGCAGTGCCATCAACGACGCCCAAGGGGCCTCCGAAGCTGGCAGGAGCACAGGCGGTGAGGAGGAAGAGGCCACCGCCGAGTGGGCAGATCGTTCCTATTTGTGGATTTCACTTATCGCGGGGGCTCCTGGAAGGGAACCCTCATGATAAGTGAAGGAACACTTATTATTATTATTATTATTATTATTATTATTATTATTATTATTATATGCTGATATTGTGCTGTGCTAACAATGTAATATATTGTATGTATATATACCTTGTAAGCTGCTCTGAGTCCCCTTCAGGGTGAGAAAGGCGGCATATAAATGTCGTAAATAAATTAATAAATTATTGTTATTATTATTATTCTATTTATACACCACTTTATCTCAAAGCAGCTGGAAGGTTCACAACAACAATAACAACAGAATTCAAACAAACTTTGGGATGTCCACACAAATACATCTCAACATAGCTTTCTAAAATGCCTATGAAAATGAATGCTTAAAAGTAGCTGGAACTAATCAGGGAACAAAGTAACCCTATGACTTCATTATGTTCTTCTTTTCAAGTAAAATAACTAGTTACAGGTAAATACCATTACTTATAACTCATTACTTCCAAATGCTTGTGAAGCATTAAACATAAATTTAACAGGAGAAAGCATTGGTCTAGAGTGAGATCCCTTCCACAGAGTTAAATAAAATCCCACATTATCTGCTTTGAACTGGAATATATGGCAGGATGGATTCAGATAACCAAGTTCAAAGCAGATATTGCAGGATTTTCTGCCTTGATATTCTGGGTTATATGACTGTGTGGAAGGGCCTGGAGATAAATAGGATCTAGAAACATGGTAAGGCTTGTATTGTCGAAGGCTTTCATGGCCGGAATCACTGGGTTGTTGTAGGTTTTTTCGGGCTATATGGCCGTGGTCTAGAGGCATTCTCTCCTTACATTTTGCCTGCATCTATGGCAAGCATCCTCAGAGGTAGTGAGGTCTGCTGAAACCAGGAAATGGGTTTATATATGTGGAATGACTAGGGTAGACAGTTTCAACAGTTCTGTTGGACAGTTTCAACAGAAAGGAGGAAACCATGAAAATGAACAAAATCTGGCTACCAGTATTAAAAAACTCTAAAATTATAACAGCTCATCAAATGCTAATCAAGGTGGTCAGTTGAAACATTTACACTTAGCTCCACCAGACAAGAGTTCTTTGTCCCACTCTAGTCATTCCACAGATATATAAACCCCATTTTCCTAGTTCCAACAGACCTCACTACCTCTGAGGATACTTGCCATAAAGGCAGGCGAAACGTCAGGAGAGAATGCCTCTAGAACATGGCCATATAGCCCGAAAAAAACTACAACAACCCATGGTAAGGTTTGCTGACAATGTCAGTTGTCTAACGTTTTTGTTAAAGATCGAGGAATAAGACTAAAGAGGTCTATGTGTAAAGGTACTTTCTAGCTAACAGTCATTCTTTATTCATTTTGATCTATGTTCCTTCAGGAATAGCAGACAAAATACTTTTTCGTCTTACAGTTTTGAAACGCCGAATATACCCACTTTGCCTGGTAATGCATTCAGGATTTTTCTATAGCAAACGGTGCCCTCCCCTCCTGTCTTATTCACATCAAATTGTTGATTTTTAATTTAACTTCACAAAGAACTACAGGAAATCCCTCAGCAAGATGTCCACTTAATGAGCCTGGGCTCCCTGGAGGACTGTGGAGTGGTCTTATTTTGTTTTTCTGGCAAACATTTTGACAGCTGGGAAGAAGCCTCATCAACTGCTTTTTAGTGCTTTCTGGAGAGGTTCAATGGGCACACGTACTTTTCAAAAGACACGAATAAACAGGAGGTGGTCTCCTTCTGCCACATAGCTCGGCCTGTCATTGAACATCGAGAAAACCAAAGTGTTGTTCCAGCAGTCACCAGCCAATCCCTCTCCAATGCCAGAGATACAGCTTAATGGTGTAACATTAGAAAACATTGACCATTTCCGCTACCTTGGCAGCCACCTCTCCACCAAAGTCAACATCGACACCGAAATACAACACCGTCTGAGCTCTGCAAGTGCAGCATTTTTCAAAATGAAGCAGAGAGTGTTTGAGGACCGGGACATCCATAGGGATACCAAGGTGCTTGTTTATAAAGCTATTGTCCTCCCAACCCTGCTATATGCCTGTGAAACGTGGACTGTCTACAGACGTCACATGCAACTCCTGGAACGATTCCATCAGCGCTGCCTCCGGAAAATCCTGCAAATCTCTTGGGAAGACAAGCGGACAAACGTCAGCGTGCTGGAAGAAGCAAAGACCACCAGCATTGAAGCGATGGTCCTCCCCATCAACTCCGATGGCCGGCCACGTTGTCCGGATGCCTGACCACCGTCTCCCAAAGCAGTTGCTGTACTCTGAACTTAAGAACGGAAAACGGAATGTTGGTGGACAGGAAAAGAGATTTAAAGATGGCCTCAAAGCCAACCTTAAAAATCTGGCATAGACACTGAGAACTGGGAAGCCCTGGCCCTTGAGCGCTCCAGCTGGAGGTCAGCTGTGACCAGCAGTGCTGCAGAATTTGAGGAGGCACGAGTGGAGGGTGAAAGAGAGAAACGTGCCAGGAGGAAGGTGCGTCAAGCCAACCCCCACTGAGACCACCTTCCACCTGGAAACCAATGCCCTCACTGCGGGAGAAGATGCAGATCAAGAATAGGGCTTCACAGTCACCTACAGACCCACCTATTTACTGAAGTGGTCATGGCTCTCTTGTTTTCACCACAACTCCATTAATTGCCACCATCTCCCTATGCTACCTTACTTCCACACTCTACCTTTCCCCCTTTCTTCCTGCTGTCACTACTACCATTTAACTCTTCCTTTTACCTCTTCCTTCTCCTGATTCTTCCCTCACAGTAGTAGATGCAATATCGATGACCAAATCTTCCATGCCGTTTTGAAGGATAAGCACAAATGTGGTCAAGAGCAATTCAGATTGCTGGTCCATCTGCACTGCCATAAGATCTGGTTTCTGACTCCAGATTATCTGTTTTGAACTGGATTATATGACAGTGTAGACCAGTGGTTCTCAACCTTACTAATGCCGTGACCCCTTAATACAGTTCCTCGTGTTGTGGTGACCCCCAACCATAACATTATTTTCGTTGTTGCTTCATAACTATAATTTTGCTACTGTTATGAATCGTAATGTAAATATCTGGATATGCAAGATGTATTTTCATTCACTGGATCAAATTTGGCACAAATACCCAATATGCCCAAATTTGAATACTTGTGGGGTGGGGGAATTGATTTTGTCATTTGGGAGTTGTAGTTGCTGGGATTTATAGTTCACTTACAATCAAAGAGAATTCTGAACTCCACCAAAGTTGGAACTGAACCAATCTTGGCGCACAGGACTCCATGGCCAACAGAAAATACTGGAAGGGTTTGGTGGGCATTGATCTTGAGTTTGGGAGTTGTAGTTCACCTACATCCAGAGAGCACTGTGGACTCAAACAATGATAGATCTGGACGAAACTTGGCACGAATACTCAATATGCCCAAATGTGGGGGAGGGGGGGGACCTTGCCATTTAGGAGTTGTAGTTGCTGGGATTTATAGTTCAACTACAATCAAAGAGCATTCTGAACTCCACCAGTGATGGAATTGAAACAAACTTGGCACACAGAACTCCCATGAACAACAGAAAATAGTGGAAGGGTTTGCTGGGCATTGATCTTGAGTTTGGGAGTTATAGTTCACCTACATCCAGAGAGCACTGTGGACTCAAACAATGATGGATCTGGACCAAACTTGGCACAAATACGCAACATGCCCAAATGTGGACACTGGTGGAGTTTGGGGGAAATAGACCATGACATTTGGGAGTTGTGGTTGCTGGGAGTTGTAGTTCACCTACAATCAAAGAGCATTCTGAACCCCACCAACAATAGAATTCGGCCAAACTTCCCATACAGAACCTTATGATCAACAGAAAATACTTTGTTTTCTGATGGTCTGTGGCAACCCATCTGGCACCACCTTCATGACCCCACCAGCTGTCCCGACCCCCAGGTTAAGAAACGTTGGTGTAGATGCATATGGTCCAGTTGAAAATAAATAATCTGGAG